AATTTGCTACAAACACAGGGAGAAAAATCCTTGGATTTCAGAGTCCTGTGCGTTTTAGAATTGCAGATAAAGAGCTGTGGATCCAGAGTGAAGCATCCTGAAGAGAGGGCCAGAAACCATAGAGCAGCTGAACCAGAACGTGAATGTTCTTTGGAGCCCAGTTGCTTTGGCAGGTTCTGGGAGATGAAGTTAGAGAATGTGGAAGCTGCTCCCGTGAGCACTGAGTCTCACACGCAGTTCCCCGTTACAGTACCTGAGAGGCTCCGTCCAAGAGATGTCATTGTTGTCCTAGCAGCCACCAAGTCTGACCCCAGAACTCCTGTGGAGTGGCACTAGGAGGAAGTGCCCTGCTCGGTGAGGGGCAGGCGGTGCAGTGGGAGAGGCCAAGGGGGCGGTGTATAAGACAGAGCCATTGTCTTCTTGTTCCTGGACACTTGTATCTTTTACCCTCTCTGGGCCCTAGTTTGGTTTTTTACAATAATTAAGAAAAAAAAAAAAAAATAGAAGAACTCTGTGTCCAGGCCGCTTCTCCTGGACTTTGGAGAATCAAAACTTACTAAGGGGCTTTGCCACTAAGAGCGTCCTGCGCTACTAAAGCGCCTCAGATCTTTGTAAGGGGCTTGGTCCTAGTTGGGGTTTTCTGTCCCAAGGCGGGAGCCTCGTGCCCGGGTTCCAGTCTGGGCTCCTTTTCTTGCTCACTGGGTGTGTGTGGCCATGGACCTGGTGCCTAGCTTTTCTGCCCCTCAACCTCCCAACTGTACTTGGAGCTGGCAGTTTTTTGCCCCCCTCAGAGTGTGCAGAGGATGCCTGAAGTGGTTCCTGCAAGCCCTGAGGGCTCCTCCTGTGACCTCCAGTTGAACAGGCCCTAGGCCACTAGCAGCTGAAAAGAGGCTTTATCTTTTCCCCATTGTGTGGCTTTGGTAGATTACTGTTCTTTCACTAAGTGACATGCCATGCTTCGAGATGTAATGCTGACAGGCTTGAAAGGAGTGAGTTAGAAGTCACTTGATCACTCAGGAAGTGGCCTGGGGTGGTCAGGAGCTCCCTTTGTGCTGTGCACTGTAGCAGCTAGAGCAATACCTGGTTTGTGGGAGCCAGTATTCCTGCTTGTAGAAAGAGTGACACACAAACTCCAGGCATTGCAGACCAGGGGCGGGTGTCCACCCTGTACCCCTCCCTCCTTCCCTCTGCCCCTCCCTTCCCTTCCTCCTTCTTTCCTTCCTTTCCTTCCTCCTTTTTCTGCAAGCATTCACTGAGTCTGTCCATCATAGCTGCTGGGCTGGGCACCTGAGATGGACTTCAACCCTAGGATTGCCAACGTCCCCAGCTCTGTTAACCAGTCCCAGAGAAAGAACTTGGAGGACATTTTCTTACTCCCTCCTTACTGGTGGCAGGCTGGGGTACAGTGGAGGACCATGCATCCCTCCAAATAGGGGAGTACACAGGATAGATCACATGCCCACTGCAAGGTGGAGGTCTTCCGATGCTTTATGAGTATGTTCTCTTCCTTTAGAACCAAGGTCACTCTGTTTATGTCCTCACCAGAGATTGGAGTGAAGTTCTTCACAGCATGAAGAGAATGGGGGAAAATCTTTACCACCAGCACCTCAGATAGAGCAGTGATCTCCAGGATATATAGAAAACTCAAAAACCTTAACACCAAAATAATCATCATCATCATCATCATCATCATCCAATCAATAAATGGCCATAGAACTGAATAGATACTTCACAGAAGAAATACGATCAGTCAACAAATATATGAAAAAATGTTCAACACCTCTAGCAATTAGAGAAGTGCAAATTAAAACTACACTGAGATTTCATCTCACTCTAATCAGAATGGCAATTATCAAAAATACAGTAACAGTAAATGTTGGCGAGGATGTGGGGGAAAAGTATACATTGCTGGTGGGATTGCAAATTGGTGCAACCACTTTGGAAAGCCGTATGGAGCTTCCTCAGAAAACCTGGAGTGGAACCACCATTTGACCCAGCTATCCCACTCCTCAGCATATACCCAAAGGACTTACAATCAGCGTACTACAGTGACACAGCCACATCAACGTTAATAGCAGCTCAATTCACAATAGCTAAGCTATGGAGCCAACCCATGGTTGCTGTCAGTAGAAGCCGTCCATTGGAGCTAGCAGCCGAGTGGCCACTGGGAGCAGAGCAAGAGGAGCCTCAGGGTTGGGGCTCAGGGTGGCTCATTTCAGACCCTGGAAAGCCGAGGACTGAGCGGGGGTGGGCAGAGACTGAGGACCACCCCCAGGCTGCCTTGGCAACTTAGCAAGACCCGTCTCAAAATAAAATGCAAGAAGCAGAGCTAGGAAAGAGCTGGACATGGGTGGAAGTGTTGGACCCTGGGTGGTACAGAGCTCCAGAAGCCAGGGTGGTGGGCTCCAGGGGGCTCTGGGCATGATATTCCCTACATAAGAGGCTTTGCTTTTATTTATTCATGTATTTATTTACTCATTCATTCCTTAATTTTTTTCCAACAAATATTTACCAAGGGCTCCACATGTGTCCCGCCCTATATCAGGAGCTGGGAGTCCTTGGCGAGGACAGTGTAACTGCTTCTGCTCCAACAGGGGTTCTAGTGGGGCGGGGAAGTGGGCCTCGGCTGCAGATTCACATCACTGTACTTACAATCCGAGGCACGTTCTCTGAAGGAAAAAGAATGTCACCATGAAAAACTTGTAAATAAGAACCTGCCCTGGTTCTGAATGTGGTGTCAGGAGAGACTCACATGGTCAGGTCATGGGAGCCGAGACCCAGAGGAGGACCAGGGAAACAGGCTGCACAACGTAATGACATGTGCAAAGGCCCTGTAGTGGGTAAGCGTGTGTACAGTCAAGGTGAGGGGAAGTTCACACATGGCATGTGGCCAGGAGACAGGTGCCCAGTCATCCATAAGATTAGCAGGGGCAGACACCAGGTCCCTCCTGAAACTATCGTAAGGATGGTGAAGAGTTGTGCTCTTCAGCATGAAGGGATGACAAAGAGCCACCAGCAGAAAGCAAGTTTTCCCACAGAGCTGGGGTTGAACTGTGCCCTGAATCACCCGTCACTGTTAACTTCAGAGATCCAGAGCCTGAAGCGTCAGAAGATGGTTCTCAGCTTTGGAGAAGCCAGGCATTTGCAGAAGGCCACGGGCCCTCGTCAACTTGCATCCACTGGGAGCTCTGGGGCCACAGGGAGAGAGAGAGAGCACCTGTCTGCAGTCCCAACCAGCCCCCTCCAGTGTTCCCTGCCCGCAGTGGGACTGGGGCTCTTGATCAGAGGTTGCAGAGCACATGGGGAGTAAGCGAGTGGAAATTAATTCTGGGAAGGCCCATCCCAGGTCAGTTAACTGCTAGATTTGATGCAGCTACAGGAGAAGTGTGCATGGCAGCCTTCCTCAGAAGAGCCCATAAGAGCAGCCAGGAGGAGCACAGCAGGAGCTCCCCGGCCGCTTCCCCTGCCCCTTCCGCCTCCCACGACTGCAGACCTCCCTGATGTGTTCCGTCCAAGCAGTGGGGCCGGGACTCTCTTCTGCTGTCAAAATTGGGGCTCATGTTGTATGCCAGCTGCTCTCCAATGCCATGACGCTCTTTTTTCCTCCCTGAAAAATTCTTCGTGTCTTCTTCCTGCGGCCTGTCTATGCCAAATCTGAGAAGGACGCTGGATGTATGACGGTTACGTGAGTGCTGGCAGGTCCGGCCAGCTAGCCAAGGGGGGACCCCGAGACCTAACAGTAATGACAACAGTATTTGGAACGGGGCTGAAGGCTCGGTGCTCTGGGTCTGCCTGGCCAGCTCCGCGTCCCAGCTTCATCTCAGCCCAGCTGGGTGACCTTGGCCTGTTGGTCGGCCGAAGCCTAGCTGTCTGGGCTGTCACAGCAGGGCTCATGAGAGCAGGTCTGTCTAACAGCCATGAGAGCTCAGCGAGGTGCTGCACACAGAGCACTGAGCCCAGCCGCCAGCACAGTGCAGTCCCAGCACCGTCAGCGCTTCTCTGCTGCTGAGAGCAGGAGGGTGAGGCCTGGGACAGGGCACTGGGGGTGGCAGGAATAGCGAACCCCCCCGAGCTCAGCCCAGCCCCTTCCACATCCCGCACATTCGTGTCTGTCCCCATGGGGTCAGGGGGCCAACCTTCTCTCTGGGACAGAAGAGCTGTATGGCTAGAGCTCCCCCCATCCCTGCCATCCCAGAAGAGATTGCCCAGGAGCCGGGTGGAGGGGCCAAGAAGGAGAAGTGAGCTTACCTTGCCTGGGGGCCAAGAAGGGAACCTGGGCTCAGGACTGAGCTGGGCTGGGGATGCCCTGCCAATCGCGCCCAGTTGCTGTGCACCTTGTCAGCCATGTTCCCTGGGGTGAGGTCGTAGGGTGCTCTGAGGGGCCAGAGGCACAGGGTGTGGGAGGGCCACGGGGCTGGAGAGGCTCTGGAGCTCCATTGCCACTTGGATCGGAGCCCAGAGACTCACAGCAAGCACAACAGATTTGCAGAATAAATCTTTGCCTTTCAGCAGAGAGAATCAGCCGATCACAAGTGTAGATAGCAGAATACTTTTGTGTAAATCAATCTTATTTTCATTGGGCCTTACAGGCTAATTCCTGAAATTTAATTGCTTGTGGTTAATTGATTTATCAATATTTATTGAACATTCGGTTTTAGCTCAACACCCATTCAGCCCTGGGATGGGCGAGACCAGAAACATTAGATGTGGTTTTTTTTGATCTGCTAACAAAATCCACGGCAGAATCAATGCTGGCTGATTACAGCTTTTCTCCTTTCCTCCCTCCCTCCTGGAAACCACCAGATACTTATCTTTTATTCATTGACAGAGTTAACTCAGGAGAAAGTGGAAATATGTATTCATTACATGTTCTTTCTTGGGGGAAAGGAGAGAGTCTATGGGTGTTCCTGTTTTTTTTTTTTAATAATGTATATTATTGATGATAATATATCTGGCAAATAAAAATATTAAACTGGGGTTGGTCTCTATTTATTTTCCAGATCCACAGCCGGGTTTTCTCATCCCCTAAAGATCAATCTTCCCGGGAAAGAGGTGAAAGTCTTCTGAACGCAGGTAAAGAGCTGGGCTCTTGTCCTCTTCTCTCTCTATTTTTATTAATAATGAAATGTACTTTGGAGCCTGGGTCCTTTCCAAACATGAGATGATAGCTCAGTGGCACCACAAGGTTTGAAATGGTTTACCTTTCCACCCTGGCTGTAGACCAGCGTCCACAGGGAAGCAGACGATGGGTGAGGACTGTCAGTTCCTCGGGCGGTACCTGGGACACTCCTGACAGGGGCGCGGGGGTCAGGTGGGCCCAGGCAGGCTCCTCCTGGAGCCGGCAGTTCCAGGGGTGAGTGTGGGGTGAGTGTGGCTTCTCCCAGCACAGTGGACTTTTTTGCAGTTGGGGCATGGTGGCTGTGCGTTCATAAATCAGTTTTTATGAAGCTTCAATTCATAGCTATTAAATTGTAAAAACACTAGGTGAGATGGTTACGGTTCATAACTTTTATTAAGTTTGTTAACATAAATTATGTGAAAACAAGCTCCCTCTGTCCCCTTTTTATTAGAAGTCACATGGATTCGGGTCAAATGTTCTGATGGTACTGTGGACTACTGGATTAATAGAATGTTCAAAAAACTGCAAAAATCAATTCTAAAAGAATGTTTTAATGTGGCTAATTTTAGTTTTTATCCTCATTTTGATTCTTGCATGTGGCAGATGAGTTGTAGATGAAAAATAACTATGTATGTTTGGGTATATATATATATATATGTGTACATATTGTATGTGTGTGTACATATACATTTGTATGCACACACACATTTACGTTTATATCTTTTCATTACCTGCCACCACCTGCCTATATCAAAGATGTTGGGAAACTGAATTTCTTTCCATAACTGGCATAGTCAACTGAAGACAAAAATATTTGAAAGAAACTTTCCTATTTAATCCTCCCTGGAAGCCCCAAGTGTGGTTTGTAGCTTAGTCTTTTATGGTGGCAGGTATTTAGTGTGGACCCTTTGAAATCCTAGCCCCCCACTGTCTGTGGCAGGAGTGTGGCTGCACTGGGCTGCTTCCCTGGCACAGCAAAAGCAGCCCTGGAAGCCTGTCTGGCTCTGCACCCTGCAGGGAGCCTGGGGACCAGGAGAGAGTGTGATGAGTTTTCCTAGAACAATCAAGGGGGCTGCAAGAGCAATCAGACCTGGTGACTGAGATGAGGCCACGTTGCTCCTCTTTATCTCAGGACTGGGCCACATCAAATTGGTCTTGGGCACCTGCACAGTGGGTGCTGCTCCAGGGGAGATCAGCAAGTTAATCACTCAGGAGCCAAGTCCGTGCTGTTCCAGGCTAGGGTTAGTGACCCAGAGTACAGGAAGTGTGCCCAAGCAACCCTGGGTGGGGAGGGAGAAAAGTTTCCTGGCATTAAAAAAAAACCTGCCAGTGTTGTCCAGTGGAAAGCTGTCCTGAACCCCGGGTGTTCCTGGGCAAGGCAAGGAGCCCTACTGCATGGCACCATGCTTTCCCTGGGGTGGACTTTCCACGGAGCCCTCTTGTGCCCAGGGCATCGTCCTCTAGGGTTGTTTCTCCTATTAGAAGTTGCTCTGGCACTTGTTAAGAGACAAGACAGATTTTATTTGTGTTGTTACAGCAGGGAAGAGACACTTGCATAGGGAGCTGCACCAACTCTTGATACAGTAAAGGCGGCTGGCATGTGTAGCTACAGGGCAGGGGAGGCACCCAGTGGATGGACATTACTAAGAAGATCTTGCTAGCTAAGGTGCGGGGCTTAACAAGGCTGGGGGAATGCTCCCTAAGCCGAGTTGGCAGGAGTCTGGATAGAACTGGGCTCAATGGAACTCTTCGCTGTTACTGGACTCAGCAATCTAAGGCAAGGCCCAGCAAAGAAGAGGGCCCAGAGGAGCAGGACTGAAGCAGAGATGGAGGAGTCCTACCTCACCTCTTCTAGAGCATGGGTCAGAGCAGCCTCCTGGGCCTCTGTGCCTGTGGTGGCCCAGCTTTCTCCCCATAAAAGCACAAGGACTTTGCATTAGGAATCTGGTCTGCCATCTCAGTCTGTTTCTGGCTGCACCGGGACACCACATCCTGGCACATTACAAACAATGGGGTTCATTTGGTGCCGTTCTGGAGCTGGGGACATCCACAGTGGAGGAGCTGCCCATGGTGAGAGCCTTCTTGTGCCTCATAACCTGGTAGAAGCCATCACGTGGTGCGACTGCACAAGGTGGGGAGAGAGAGGGAGAGAGGCCAAACTCAAAAGAGTTTTTGTTAGGAACCCACTCCTGCCATAACTGTCTCACCCCTGCGGGGGCAGCACTGATCCTCTCACAAGGGTGGAGCCTGGTGAACTGACACCTCTTGGGGGTTCCGCCTCTCCATGCGGCTCAGAGGCAGTCCACTTTCTGCACAGCCCTGGAGGGGCACAAACCAAGGCATTCCGCTCCCACGCTTGTGAAAAGGCACAGGACGAGGTCTGGCTCAGCCTTCTTGGGACTTGGGGAAACCCAGGAGCAGAGTTTAGGTCAAATCCTGGGTGTCAAGGACCAGAAACCCATTATCACAGACAAAAGGGAAGTTGTCAGGAAACCAGTAAATGTCGAGGGAGGAAGATCCGCTGGATGCAGACGTGGAGGAACCAGAACCTCAGCAGCAAGAGCATGGACCTTCATCTCAAGCTGCTTCACCCTGACATTGTCACCTCTGGTCAGGAGACAAGGCCAATAGTGGGCGCGTGGCTTCCGTGGACCCAGCATGTGGATGACTGCCTGGGAGGGCAGCTCCCCCACAAGGGCACCAAGGGCCAGGCCCTTGTCCCCGAAGGAGTGAGTAGGCTGAGGGTGTCTCAAGGTCAGCGGGCGCTGCAGCGGTCATTCCTGCAGCTACGTTGCCATGCTGATGTTTGAAACCCTCCTCCTCCTCTTGAATGGGCTGATATGTGCGTGGCAAGCCCCAGGGTGGAAGGCGAACTGTTTTAAGGAAGCCCCCCGGGCTGCTCACGCAGCTGGTGGTGTTAGGAAGCTTTCAGTGGGTGGGAGCCCAAGTAAATTAGTGGTGTTATTTATTTCCCATCTGTATTTACTGAGTAGGCTAAGAGGGACCATTAACTATTTTAAGGTGTTGGAATGCATGACCTGATTCAAGCAGGGGTCCAGCCAGGACAGGGACTGTGGTGGACAGTCAGAGCCCCAGGAAGTGACCTAATTACCTACCAGCTGTTGGGATAAGGGACAAGTTAAAAATGTTCAATGATGGGGCAGGGAATGCAGGATGTAGGGGTGATGGGGTAAAGGGGGGTGCTAGTGGGTGGTCTGGAATGTGTGGGGTTTAGCTGCTTCCTGTGAGAGGGCAATGGCCCCTGCTCCAGATGTGCAGGAGGTGGTTGGGTCTGGTGAAGAGGCTGGGAGACAGGTAGGTTTGGAGGTCTGGATATGATGGTCATGTACAGGTGGGTGGTCTGAGGAACCACAGGTCAGCTGAGGTGACCACAGGAGAGGACACACGAGCTGGGAAGAGGGTGAGGCTCAAAACCTGAAGGGGCCCACATGCGTGGCGTGGGAGAAAGAGTCTTGTCCTGGGAACCACTGACCTGGCCTGGCCTTGGTTGTCACATCGAGGTATCTTCAGTGCCACTGTGGACTTCACCGTTGGTCAGGTTTTCTTTAGGACTGTTCTTCCACTTCTCGTCCCTCAGTTTTCCCGGACACAGAGAGGGCTCAGGATTCTTGGTCTCCGTGGGGCAGTAGGCTCTGTTGGAGGGGCTGCAGCAGTGGGGTCCAGGGTCCAAATAGCATGCGCTGTGCTCAGGCAGGAGTCTGCAGAAAATGCCATCTCCAGGTTTTGGTTTTACTTCCTCCATTTGTACCATGCGACCATTTGCTGCCTTAGTCCTTGGATTTTCCAGACTGGGCAGGGTGGGGAGCTGATTTCTTATGGTTGAACAGCCCTCTTGGCGAGGCCTTTGAAATCTGTTGGCTTGTGTAAAATTTCAGTTTACTATGATTAATAGGATCTGAATGCCGAGGAACACGAAGGGAGAAAAAAAATCTAGGAAAGATGACTATTTCTACCCAAACTCACATCTGTTTTTAAAATCAGAGGAAGGTAGAAAGTCCCTTTCAAATTCCGATTCTACACTTTATAAAAAGATTCTGTTTGCCTTTCCCACACCACTGTGCTACCCGTCTGCAGAGGAGACTGCTGGATGCTGGACTCGGGGTGATTTGTGAGTCAGGTGCCTCATTGGGGCCACATCCAGGGAAACAGGTGAGCAGAAATGCAGGTCATGGGGATTGATGAAGGCCTCTTGGAATTTTTAATTACTGACTTGCTTGGCTCAGGAGGGGAGTGGGACAGCATGAAATTTTCTTCCTCCTGATCAGTTAAGCCCGACCTTTACAGATGGCAGTTTTTCAAGGGTGGGCCTTTGATGGATGGGAGGGATAACGTAATTACATTTCATTTAAAACCTGGATGACGGCTCCCTTATTCCGGCTTGCACAAGAGCAGGCTTCGCTGTCCCCTAGCAATCGTTTCGTTTGGTTGCTGTTGAATCAGTCATTCTTTCCAATACAACACACGCCCCTGGTCCTGCTATGAGGACCTGGAAGCAGAGCACCTGGCCTGACAGTGAGCAGAGCCGCGTCCCTCTTCCAGAAGTGGCTTGGGAATGCGGTTTCTCTCTAGAGGAGAAGAGGAGGGATGCGCGTCCGCTGGCCCTCCCTAAAGCCTGGCTTTTATGAAGGCTCAGGTGCTGGAGCTGAAGCCCGTGGATTTATCGGTTTTTCATACTGAGGCCGTTTGATGGCTCTCCTTGCTGCCCAGGGGAGAATGCATCTCCTGAGCAGTTTAGGACAGTGTCTTTAGTCAGTGCAGCTTCTCTGGTCCGAGGTCACAGCCGTCCTCAGAGGCTGAAGCAGAAGCTCCCGGGCACAGCACGCCTCAGGCCTGTGCTTCTAGACTTCTCTCCGATCTCGCTGCCTCCCCTCCGTGGGCTCTCTCCTTGTCCAGAGGCTCCTCTGTCTGCCCGCCCCCTGTGGATGGTCATCGT